ATGCATATTTACTCTCTTAGGACACTCTATAGCCCTTTAATTACGCTAACACCTGAAATCGTCCAAAACAGCGATTATCAGCCAATTCCCCATAATTTAAGAACAATAGCTTCCACGTGTTTGCAGCTGTGCTGAGACTTCATGATGGGGGTTTTAGAGTGTTCCGGTACCATGTGATGTTACACGTCAATTGACTTTATCTGCAGGGGTCTTAACCAGTCCCAGCTTTGCACAGTTTGAGCCAGAAACAAGAAGTGGCTTGCCTTTTACCCATATGTTTGAGGTCAGAGTTGTCATAAGTTAATAAGGTTGCTTTGCTGTGGGTGAGATAGTTTTTCATCGTGTGCCCAAGAGGGATCAACGATTGAGCAATTTTTTTTGGTGGTTTGTTGCATGTGGAGGTAGTATCTAACAGAACCATGATTGATTTGTTTAAGTCCTTGTTCACATCTATTTCCAAGGGACTAAACAGTTTACGCCCGAGGGCCACGTCACGTGGATTTTGTGAAGTGCTGTAGACAGTTTGGGCATATATATAAGGAGATCAGTTTCATACACTTCACCTGAACTGGCATCAAGATTGTGTGCCTGCATGGGGTTTGGTGCCTCAGAGGATCTGGCTAAAGAGGTTGCTCCCATTTGACATGTGCTGGAAAAGTGCTCGATTCTCGCACAGCGCTTCTTAGAGCATTGCTTCCTTGAAGCCGGGCATACAGAGTGACGGTGTGCAGACCTGCCCAATATTTACAGGTGTCAGCCTTGCGCTGGTGGTTAAACTGATCTTGACTTCATTTTTGGTCTGACTTTGGGTGTCTTTGTACTTGTGTAATTTACCTGTTCTTGGGGACTTAAGCTTGCTGCATTATGGCTTTAGCCTTCTCAAATTGCTAAAAGTTCTCAGCTACCTGTAGCATTGTCTTAAACGAGACCATGCCCTTCTTTGTTTTATCTCTGTGGCCCTTATTTACTGGTTTTGACATCAATCTCCCGTTGTTGATCCCTAATATTAACTGGTCCTCACACGGCAGTATGACATCAATCCCCTGTCCTGAAAAGGATGCCATCATCAGTTCTATCTTGATTTCTGAACTTCAGGAAGCGTGTGATTTGGCTGGAATCTCACTTCTGACACCATGTTCTAGAGGGGAAACACTACGAAAGTAGTAATGGACAAATTCAAGACGTAACACATTATCTGTTCCAAAAAATGAGCTGAGAGCGGGGCACGATGAAAACTCTGAGGTTCAAGGAACAACTTATGTTCAAGGATAAATATAGAAATATTTCGCTAGGTCAAACGGGAACATTGTGCTCATTATATTGGAGACATTTTTTGAAGAGCGTCCATTATATCCTTTAAAAACAATTTATTTTCGAAAACGAAGGTTTATTTTTATGGACATTTAAATAATTTCAGGCAAGGAAAGACAAAAATGTAAATCCGAGCTGCAAATTGCCGGACCTACAAGCTAGAGGACTCCCTTGTCCAAGTTTGTAATTTGGTTTATGACTTGTTAACTCCGTCATTGATCGCTCAAGTATTACTTTATCACATTTTTCCAAAATCAATTGTACTCAAGAGTCTTAGCTAGTGATATATGGAGAGGTATTGGTCAGCGAACTCATTGTTTTGCTAGCTGTCATTTGATGTCAATTGTTCATCAGTATAACGGTTTGGAGCCAATGCTTCTTGACTTAAGTCTAGCAAATAAAAAGACGCTGATTGATATCAGCGAGCCCGCAATGTGACATGAATACTGGTCAGAGGATTGTTTGATGCAACAGCTGCCCCTTTAACATCTCAATGTGGATGTCTGCTATAACAATGGCCCGATTTATACTAGAGACGGATCATCCGTCTAGACAGATCATCCGTCATACGGATAATCCGTCCAAGTATAAATCCGAAGACGAATTTTGACGAATAATCTGTCTAGATATAAATCGTTCGCGAGTTTCGCGACGGGTGTCTCGGTGTTGAGCCGAATGGAAGCCTGGCGAGAGCTTAAATATGGCGGCTCTCGTAGCCTTGTTGATGAAATCGAGAAAAACAGCATTGGATATGGCGGTATATCAGAGCAGAATATTCTCTGTCAAGCGGACGTTTGAGCCGGAAAATAGCTTAATGAAGTTCATGTTACCCTTTCTCTCGCTAGTCTTGCTCAAGATAGGAAGACAAGAAGTAGAGATGAGATAAGAAACAAGAAATGGTGGGAGGACGGCCTTCAATATTGTATTATGGGTCATATATAACTTCTGCGAAGACGTCCGTGTCTTGATCTGTCCAAGTCAACTTCTTGTTTGCTTTTTCCTTCTTTTTTGTGATTGCTTTCGAGGGCACGATTACTTTACCGGAAGCCATCTTGAAATAGGCATCCCAGGAAACCTTGCAAAACTATAGAAACCAGTCTCTCTCATATGGAAACTTCGTCAAAAACCGTCTTCGTTTTCCGTCTAGATAAAAATTTAGAGACGGATGATCCGTCTAAGACGAGCTATTCGTCTGTTAGCACGTCTTGAAGAAATGCTGACAGACGGATCAGCCTGAGACGAATTTTGCTCCATAATTCGTCTTAGTACCGAATTTATATTTAGACGAGTTATCCGTCTGAGACGGATGATTCGTCTCTGACGGATAACTTGTCTCTGGTATAAATTCGGCCAATAATGCACAAGGGCAGTTAAACGATTGCAAAGGAGGCTTATTACATTTAGGACTAAATGTTATTACATTTAGGACCAAATGTTATTACATTTAGGACTTTATTACATTTAGGACCAAATGTCATTACATTTAGGACAGTTTTTACATTTAGGCGCACTTCGCGCCTAACTCGCGCCTGCTTCCGTTCGCCTGAAATCCCAAAAAAATCACGCCGGTTCTGCAGGCTAAATGCTCTCCTAAATGTCGCTTTTTGTCGAAAGGGTTCATTTATTAAATAAAGAAACTTTGATTTTTTCCGATATCAACGTTGACTTCAGAGAGAAACTGGGCTATGGTAAACATCGCCTTGCAAAAGGACTTCGTAATTTGCATTCCAAACAGCTTGTAGATTTCATTACACGCCCCGTGAATGGCGCTGAATGTGATCCGTGTAACTATCATCCAATTTCAGTGTTACCGGTTTTGTCTAGAGTCATTGAGCGCCATGTGCACAATACGTTATGCACTTTTCTCTGCGATAATAACTTGATTTTTTCAAGTCAGTCCGGTTTTCGAAAAAACCTCAGAACTGAAACTGCCCTCATCAGGATAATCGATGACCTATTTAATTTGGACAAGGACAGGGTCTCTGGAGTGGTGCTTATTGACTATTGCAAATAATTTTATATAGTCGACCATGAACTATTACTGAAGAAACTGGAGGCATATGGCATCGTGAATACGGAGCTTAAATGGTGTCGGTCATATTTGATTGGAAGGAATGAGTAGTTCACCTGAGTGGAAAGGAGTCAAGTAAGGCGCCAATGAAACATGGAATTCCTCAGGGAAGTATTTTAGGTCCGCTATTCTTCATACTATTCATCAACGATCTACCACTGCATGTCAGTTCACAAGTAGACCTCTGTGCTGATGATGCAGCATCTGCTCACTTTAATAATTTACCTGAACTTAAACTTTCCCTAAATATCTCCGCAAATGAAATATGTCACTGGACCGACTCAAATAAACTCCCAATCAACGAGTCAAAGGCTAAAGTCTTAACGATCACCAGAAGGTGCCTGGCGTCTAACATCAATGATGAACTTGTTGTCCACTCCAACTTGTTGTCGGCAACACGCAAACTGCGTTCGTTTCCTACACGCAATTGGAAGTCTGACTGTGAGATGCGTGTAATTTACACGAAATCAGGCAATGACAACTCATTAAATGTTTTAACTGATACAATTGGAAGGAAAATTGTGCGTAACATTTTTGACGAGCATCAGCTAGTAATATAACTGCACTTTGTTGGGTTTCTTATTAATGAAAATGCAAGTGTAAAAGTGGCTGGTACCAGTTTCTTCGCGGGGGAGTCACACGCGAGAGAAACGCGTGAAGGACGCGCGAGATTTAAAAGGCGAAAAACTCAAAACAAATATGGCGGCGCGAGGCTTTTTTCGGTCTACGCATATTTTGTCTTATTTTGTAAGAAGTTTGCCCACCAGAGTGTATTTGATGTATTCAACGGCCATTGCGTATGCAGGAGACAGAAACGAAAATAAAGAAGACGATTCTCGGCGACACAAAGGTTGCTTCGCATCGAAACGAAAAATCCAATCGATACGAAATCTCGCGACAGCAAAAAAAGAGAGAACTCAAGTGAAAGAAAATCTGCCAGAAGAAGAGAAAGACTGCGAACCTCCAAGGAAAATAAAAACGAGGTCACAACAGGTAAGTTATGTGTGTTACATCGCTGTTGCATTTCGGCTGGTTCGACTGAGATTTGTTACGTTTTCTTCCGTCTTTTTCTTCCTTTGATTCTTAATAATCAAATACCCGAAATCAAATAGCTAAGCAAAAATTTTATCATTGCAGCACACTAAATATGAGGTTGATATTTGTGGTACAAGACTGATTGAACTTCCAGTTCTTCGAAATGAGTTGAAATCTTGCTCAAGCTGCAAAAGAGGTAAGTTCCTGTAGGAGCCTTAAAAAATATTTTTCTCAAAAAGAAAAAAAAAAAAAGAGACACAAAACAAAATGAGTCGGTAAAAATAATAGATCTTTTCATAAATCTCATATGAGTATATTAAAATGTTTGTCTCTGGTATTGTTGTGTAAGGTGGGTAAAATAATTTTTAGGTAAAATAAAATATTTTAAAATATTGCTAGTATTGTTTAACACAGTGCAGGAAACTTTTTTTAGCTATTGAGTATGGGCATTTAGTCAGGCTCAAATATGACTTTTCTTGCTGATCAAATTTCAGAGTACAATATCTTACCTCCTGTCATCTTGAACTTCCACTTTCTTAAATTGTTTGCTTTCCTCTAACTATTTGCTTCTATGCATAAATAAATGACTTTGATCACTAGGCCATTTATTGCACCCACAGGTCCATTATCCCTTACAAACATTATGGAAGAAAAACAAAGTGGTCTCAGTAGTATCTTCAACATTAAATACAGCTTCTGTAGTCACGTAAATGAAGTAAAATCCTCTGCTGAACACAGAGCTGGAAGCCATGGTCCTCTCGTTAACGATATCAACACAAGTGCAGTATTAGGTTCCTTCCATGCTGGCATGGAGAATACCCACCTAAATAATTTACTCTCTAGAATGTACCAACAAAGAATCTTAACCTGTTTAAAAGAAGAGAAAGAGAAGTTGGAAATGCTCTAGAGAAGGTTGCTACAGATCAGGGCGTGAAATTAACTTTTTTTTCTGATAGCCACTTGGCTCCTAAATTCTTCAAAGTAGTAGCCAATTCAAAAAAAGTTGGTCGCCATTTTCAAAGACAAACAAAATCTTTCTTTACACTGTCAGCGTTTTAGATAGACCCTCCAAAATTAAGTTAGGGAAAAGATCTTTAATGTGCTACAAAGTGGACACTAGGATGTATGATATACAACCTTCAGGCTCATCTAAATCCAAGATGGCGTCTAGTTATCGATCGAGATGCATGTGCTACGTTTTGGAAACGAACTTAACGAGGAAGTTTGCCGCGGATTTATCTTTGCAAATTTCTTTAATTCACTATATCTCTTAGTAAGGTTATAATGAAACGTTGTAGTCGCCAATTTGGCGACTAACTTTCAGGATTTGGTCGCCAAAGTGAAACATTTAGTCGCATTGGCGCCTGTATTAGGCGCAATTTCACGCCCTGCTACAGATAGCTGTAAATTTAAATTAAATTTAGAAAAAAATTGCTGAGAAATCTTCTGGTCTATCTGCAGACCATCTCCCTGGAGTAGCTGTCTCCTATGATATGGGTTGGCAAAAAAGGGGAAGGGGACACCACTCTGCAACTGGTCATGGGGCTGCCATGGGTCTTGCTACTGGAAAAGTTGTGAGTTTTTTCACAAGATGCAAGATGTGTCGAGTATGTAGCCATAACAAATTAACTGGGAAAGAAAAAAAGCACGATTGTTGAAATAATCACTATGGTCATCAAAATCAATGGAAAGAGATGTTGCTTGTGAACTGTGGAGAAAAGCTCCTCTGTCTGAAGTCTAATTTTCAATTTATGTAGGGGATGATGACTCAACAACCCTTGCAGACATAAAAAACAAAGTCCCTTATGGTGTTGAGAAATGGTCCGATCTTGGTCATGCCAAGAAATCCCTCAATACCATACTGTACAATCTTAGAGACTGCTTCAAAGGATCGAATTGCTCAATTCTCATTCCAAAGGTTATAAATTACATCACCGAGTGCTTCAGTTTTTGTGTCAGCCAAATGTGGGAGATCCTGAATCTTTAAAGCAAGGTCTCAAAAACATTATTCCCCATGCCTTTGGGGAGAATACTTGTTTTAATGTTTCATGGTGTGGTCTCAAGTAAATTCCTGTTGCCTACAAACATACAGACTTGCCAAATGGCAAAGATCTCTTTGGAGATTCCCTAAAAAAAGCCGTAAGTGACATTCTGGACGAATATTCTACTGACATTGTCGTGAACAAACTGACCCCATGTGCTAATTCACAGAGAAATGAAAGTCTCAATAGCACCATTGGTTCTAAGAACTCCAAAAGTCGTTTTTATGGAGGCAGTGAAAGTAATGATTTTTGAGTAGCATGTGGGGTGGCACAAACCAATATTGGATACTTGGATACAACCACATTGGAAAAACATTGGAGATTCTTAATATTGAGCTTAGTTCTCTCGATGAAAGACATGCTAAAGCAATGGACAAGAAGGCTTCTTATGACAAACAACAAAAAGGAAAAAAGAAATTCAAGAGAAGGCGTAACCAGTTATCTTAACAAAAAACCTCGCAAACACTTAGGAGGGAAGCCAGTGAGGGGGTCACCTATGAGTCTTCAGCAGGTCTAAATTTGGATCCAACAAATCATCAACAGTGTCACAAAATGTATTTGAAATACCAGCAGAAATATCACTCACTGAGCTAAAGGATATGAAGAAATAACACCACCCCACACTATAAGGCCAAAGATTGTTCACTTACAATATGATTCAAAACAGAAATATCAATTCGTTATCTTTGACACATAACGACTTGCACAGGGAAGCTAGCTGAGATGTGCAAACTGTCTGCTGTAAGTGAAAATGGGAAACATGAATTCTCCACTTACATTCCCCCAAAAGCAACATAAGTTACAGTGCCTACCTTGTCAATGATATGACCATAAAGACCATAAAAGGAGTAAGGACATTGTCCCAAGGAAACATTCCTGTCGAAAGTATAACCATAGAGGAAGCACTTCGTGACTTCCTGACTCTTATAACTAAAGTCAAGTCTTCTGTCTTCTGAGCGACATGAAAATCAAATAACTGTTTTAATTGGTCATAATTCGGCAACGTTCGATGTCCCTACTCTCTTAAGAAAAAGTGATTAAAAACTTCAAGGATGGCATTACTGACATGAATGTCTACTTTGCGGATAGTCTACATCTGATGAAAAAACTGATTAAAACAAACACAAAGCACTTGAGCTCGATTTTAGTGGATACTGCAAACCAAACCAAAGAAACTTTTACAACCATTTTTTCAAGGAACAATTTGACGCCCATGATGCTTTAGAAAATGTCAGGGCGCTGAGAAAAATTCTTTTTGGATCGTCATTAAGCCTTTCCAGGAAAAACATCGTTGAGAATTCCAGTATCATCAGTGCTCCCCACGGAGTGGCAAACATGCTCTACCTAGATCAACGCCACGAACTTCTTCTAACATTCAGTGACAACTTGTTCAACGTAACCGACACCGGACCAATTAAAAGATCAATGGCACAAAACATCGCTGACAGTGATCTCTCTTACGATGACCTTCACAAACTGTACACAAGGTTTGTTAGAAGAGGAATAGTCGCCATGTTGTCTAATCCACCAACAACTTCATCGGCGAAGACAACACGAGTCACACGGACGAAGAGGATATTGGCCGCCATAGTTAGACACTTCGAAGAAATCAGCAACGAAGAATAAGGAGAGATGCCCGAAAAAATCTCAGGCATAACGTTTTACCTATTAGAAGACTCACAATCTCTAAACAAACATTCCGATCGAAGCGCCGACCAACACGTGTTTTCCATTTCAAACTTTCGCTCGTTGTTTTTCAATAAAAATATGGCTCATATAGTCAGAAGCTGGAAGTACATCTTTCAAGGTGGGCCCGGAAGGCGGTTGCTGAATGACTTTCTGAGCAGTAAACGTTTCTGAACATCAGATCGGATGCAGTAGGAGCTCGCGCGAGCACACGCAATCGTCAGCAGTAGCCGTAACAGATCATGAACAACTGTCGATATAATAAAATTCGGATTTTTAAATGCGCGAGAACGCGCGTGGGAATTGCTAAACTCACGAAAGCTTTTGCATGAAAAAAAGTCCGGTGACCCCTTCTTTTTAATGTTCCAATATAATAATAACATCGAAGGGAATCATCAGAAAAAAATTAGGAAATTCTACGGAAGGACATTTGCGATGCGTGAAAATTGCCTTTTTCTAAATTCTCTGAAATTCCGCTCCGTATAATTTTTTTTTAAGTCTTTGTGCATTTTCCTTTTCAAGTGCCAAAAGCGGTCACTAAGAAAAATCACGGGGTCGCCGAGTTAGTTTTCAAATTATTTGAGCCACAAGCTAAAATAGGCGTCTGAATAATCCTTTGAAAGTGTTGCCATGGAAACTGCTGGTGACGAAATAACACCTATTTTTGGATAACCAATGGTTATATACTTCAACCCTGTAAAAGTGTTCAACTTGCCTTGGTTAGTCTTTTTGTTATATTTTTTCAAAGCTACAAACCATCAAAAAGATGAAAACTGGTACCAGCCACCTTAACTTGCACTGCTTCCGCTTTTCTTCAAACAGTTTCTTCCGATTGCCACGAGCTCACTTTCGGAAGCGATAACGAAAATCTCCTTAAAAAGCAGGCACGTTTAATCGGTTAAAAGACGGTAAAACTGGAAAAAAATGCGACTAAAACTGAAAAACACACACGCGAGAAATCGTACGCGTAACTTGCGTACGAACTTGTAAAATTTAAATGTCTCAGCGCGCGCGCGCTCTAACCGCACGACACGCCATTCCCGTACTATCTTCTTAGCATTTTCCCCCTCCCAACACTGGGAGGTAGTCCTAGTGTGTTCCTAAATAAGGAATTAAAAATTAATTCCAAGCGGAATCAGTTTATTAATTCGTCTCACGACAGTTTTGACGCCACACGCAACTTTAGCAACACGGGTGTGGCCATCATGTCCAGGATACACTTCGGCAATTCGTCCTAACGGCCAACGTCCTCTTGGAGTATCGGGCTGAATCACAAGAACTACATCTCCAACTTTTAGGTCTCGGAATTCTGAAGTCCACTTCGGTCGGCTGTTAAGGGTAGGAATACATTCCTTGAGCCATCTCCTCCACACTCGTGAAATAATGCCCCAGAGCTTTCGCCATCGTTGACGCGGAGGCAAAGGAGTGGTTTCAACGGAGTCAGGCACGAACTGTCCCCCCATTTGGCCCTGTAAGAAATGGTTAGGGGTCAATGGAACATCTTCTAGTGGATCTGAACTCTAATAAGTCAACGGACGGGAAATTAAGAAGGGATTCTACCCCAGCGAACACAATGATCAGCTCCTCATCGTTTACATGTTTACACCAGTTTCTTCCGATTGCCACGAGTTCACTTGAGGTTTTGAATTTAATGATCATAGAATGGAGTTTTTGAAGTAAAAGCAAACCAAAATTGTAAAGTGCTCCCCCCATTACAATCATTAAACAAATCGCACAGTATTGTGAGTCGCCAGGCTTCCCGTTTCATTGGTATGCACCACTTGCAGTTACTCAGCATACTTTTAATATCAGACTAAGCGTGCCAAACCACAATTCTCTAATTGTACTAAGCGTTTAAATATCTTTTCAAAGTTTGCAATCGAAAAACTGTGACAGACATTTCCGGAACAGAAAAAGATCAGCCATACAAGGAGGAAAACAGAATCCTCTCGCCTCTCCAATGGGAAAACAACGAGAAAACTATATCTATAACAACAACATAAACAGCACAGCAAGACGTTGAATGATCACCTAAATTATCGCTCTATTTTTCTATTTGGCGTCATTGAGTACTTAACATGTTGTAGTCATCTAATCTTTAATAAATTTCAAAATTAAATCGCGGAAGCATGAATGGTAAGCTTTTAAAAATGTACCTAGTTTTGGATAACCTTGACCG